CGAACTGTTATGGAAAAATACCTGTCCACCCAGAGCAGTCGAATCAAGAACCAGCGTGTTTATACATAGAGAACCTCCCCAACAGAAGGAACGGACATCTCCCGACGAACTCCCAAAGGAATTCTAGAAATACGACCTCCAGTAAGCGAGCTCCTCCCCACAACGTCTCACAGAATGCGGTGCTCCACACGGCGTTTCACGACATCGCTTCTGCGTCGAAACCGGAAGACGAACGGATTTGACTCAAATTTGTTTATGAATTTTAAGTAAACTGATAAAAAATGGATGCTATTATGGTCGTTGTACGCATTACAAGGGTAGCAGGACGGTGTTGGGATGATTAGTACGAAATGCAAAAACGCAGAGGGACTCGATAATAGGACGACATCGACTTGGTACAAAGGGAAACAGGAGTAGATAAACGCGTATGCGTATAAACTGTTTACACCTGATCAACTACCTCCCATTCTGATTTATCTTCGCTCTTCTGGACACTTCTCACAGCTGAGTCATCATCAGTGACAGAAACAACACCACCTTCCTCATCCTTTAACGATTTCCCAGGTAAATCTGTGGCGTCAACACATTCGCGCTTCGCCTTTTCAATTTCAGCCGCAGCTTTCTCGGTCTCACGCTTAACTTTCTCCTTCTCAAACTGCTTATCGATTTCACCCACTACACTAGTCATTAGCTCCCTCGAGTGTCTTAACAAATAGTTATAGGTCGCGACCAGGCTCTTGTTATCTCGACTCGCCCGCTGCTCTTCACGCAGCTTTTCTTGAAATTCACGATTCTCTTTCTTGAGCCGGTCTTCGAAATCCTTGCAGATGTTTAATCGGGATCGCGTCCGTTCAAGTTCTTCCCTAATTTGGAAAAACTGGAATTCCACTGACTTCCTACATGCCTCAGCAACCTCAACTCGCTTGAGGAGTTCCACACCGCCAACAGGAGCGACAATGATTCTAAAAAGAATGTCTGTCAAACATGCTGCAAATGAAAGCTTACTTTGACGCGCCTTGCGGTTTTTCACCACCGAAGAGGAGATCGTTCCCAGCTGCAAGATCACGAACGAACTCAGAATCTGAGGAATTTAGCTTCAATGTTGCAACGTCATTTGGATCCCCTTCAACGACTGCATGATCAGTCAAGTTTCTGAAACGCACATTTTCGCGATGCGAAACCTTTGATACCAGTTTTCGCATCTGAGATTTGGAATAACCCAGATTTAGAAGGTGCAGGATAGTGGTCAGATCATGATCACGGATAAACCCGGCGTGACCGAGATCGAAGAAAGTGAACGCGAAAAGCAGATCAAAGTCTATAGTACGACGCATCTTTCGTTGCTTGCTCGATTCCTCCTCATCACCTGCCGGAGACAGCTCCTCATACTCGTCGTCACGTCGACGCTTTGAATCCGGTTCATCGTGACCATTCTGCTCGGACCTTTATAAAGAGAAAACAATAAATAAACATGCCTTTCGTCTGACCCTGGGAGTACGCTCAACTACTATTTGCACAAGCAATGTAGCACGATAAGTTGACTCGTACTTTCCATCCTTTTCGGGAGCAGAGTAAATCGCCTTGAAGATCGTGAAGGCACAGTCACGCTGCAGCATAGTATGAAACTGCTCCGCAAACAGAGACACCTCAAAGTTGAGCTCCTTCTGCTCCTCACCCTGGTAGTTCAGGAGAGAATGAAGTGAGACGCGGTGACAATCAAAGCGACCACCACGTGCCGCTCTGTTTGGGTGAACAAGGATAGACGGTTTATCGCCCAACCGATAAAGACGCTCCAAGCGACGACGTTCTTTTTCAGACATATCCTTCGACAGATGTTGTTGATGCTGGTGCTCCTCCTTTGGCTGTCCAGAGGCTTCAGTCAGATTAGTCGGCGCATCTTCGACTGCAGTAATAAGCAAAAAGAAAAGGCGTTAACCAGCGGTGTCCTCAAAGCAATCCCTTTTTCACAACGACCCCGATTCACTGTAACTGATTAATCAAGCGGAAAATAGGCAAGATTTTCAGAGCAGTTAGTGTATTGCTAACAAGACGAGAGACTAGACTCACCCACGACCTTGGCAAGCTCCTCTGGTGCCAGCGTTTCAGCATGTTTCATTTCAGACATCTCAGCCCTCTTCTCGTCATCAAGCGCGTTCTGAAGGCGGCACACAAGGCTGGCCTTGACTCCCTTGCAGTCAAGATTGCGTGCACTCAACTCTGCCCTCAATTCCGTCACCTAAGTACGGTCCCATGACTGCATTAGCCAAAATACCTTCATGCTATTGACATCCAGTTTAGAATAGTGAGTTGGTTCCCCTTCGACTTGTTCGGCGTGGGAACTCTCCTGGCTCTCATCCAAGACTGATTCGGAGACCTGAGCGGTCTCCATCG